AGGTGCGCTGATAAGGCATCTGAATTTACAGGTTTTTACGCTTTTTTCACTTAAATCGCCATTTGAGAAGGGCTTCTGCCCAAAAAAAGTCACTCTGAGATTCACTCTTCCGAAGAGAACAAAACGGAGATCGTTCGGAAACTTCTTTTAATCGAAGGGATCGAGCATTGATCGCTCTAATCATCAGATTAGTGTCCTCTACTGTAGTCCTCAATTAGTTTCACTGAATTCAGGTCGGTGGAATGTTAAAGATGATATTCGCGTGTCATTTTGTGGCCTTACTGCTGATCACATGCTTCCTTATCCAGTGTCCAGCACGAGATTTTGTCGGTATTAATCTCAGTTATCAAGTCGAGTGAGTTCAGATTTTATCATTCGCTACCGATCATTCCTTTAAAAGATGTTCTTTTATATGAATTATCCTATAACAGTTCAAACTCCTATTGCATGCAGCAATGAAATGATTCAGAATGATTCAGAACGAAAAATCCATATTTATTGCATATAAATGGGTAATATTCTTTAATGAATTGCAGGAAAGTAAAAGGCGCCAATGGTGGTTTGTATTCAACCTGCAATGCGGATTGCTCATGTAAGAGCGACTGGAATCCGGTTTGTCATGAAGCGTCAGGATATACGTTCTATTCAGCGTGTTATGCCGGATGTACGGAACAAACTGTTAATTCATCGGTTTGTTCATTCCTTCTTAGAAACGTGACCGACCGAGCATTGTGTTGCTGTTCGCAATGGTGTTTTCATTAGCATCGCTTCAAATCCACTTCAGAGATCAAGAGGGTGCCTATCGGGAGTTGAAGTTGTAAGCGTTCACTAAAGTAGGCATCATGAACTGCTATATTCCATGCAAGTCATAAAAGAGAAAAATAAACAATCTCTGCAATATTCTCACTATGTAGTAGGTTCATAGCTCTTAAGTGAGCGATTTTATTTCGTCAGCAGAATGCATGATTCTCTGATATCTGGAGAAATGAATCCTATGATGTCAGTGACAAGCTAAGTTTAAGGGTACATTTTGGGACGATTGTAAATGCTTGGACGAGATGGCATCGTTGGGACGTAATCCTTTATTAAGTAGTAGTGATAATCTGAGGCAAGGATTCTGTGAGAAGAAATGCGGTTATGGAGAATGGATATTTCTGTTTTTGTTATTCCTTTCTGTTGTTGCCAGCTTTGCTTCTGGTATACCCTCGCAACAGGTACGATCGTGCGATACGATTCATCTTTTATTCTTATGCTACTGTCTTCAGACAGATTCCCGTCGATAGTTCACAATCAGTGAACATCATAATGAATATTTTGTTACTGAGCGATCGAACATGCGATAGTGCTAGGTTGTGTAGGATTAAGGTGAAGATTAATGAGATAAACTTGCTCTTTTCGCGAAAGAATTTGTTTTTCTGTGTCCTGTCACTATCATACTGTCATATTCTAACCGAAATTTGTTCTGTAGCAAACATTGTGTTCATTATGTGAACGCTGATTTGTTGAGGTTGATGAACACTCAGAAAACGTAAGAAGCAATTTCAGATAATGTTGCGTGTTGTTCCGTTCCAGCAACGTACACTCGGGATTGGCGTTCATTGGACGTTCCTTCGCCTATTAGGTTGAATATCTATCTCATCATTGTATTCCCTCGAACGCACACTCTTATTTTCAAATTGATCTCAGTTCATCGATGAAATTGCTCCACTGAGGTTGTGAACAAGTGAACAAACGTTTCTAGGATTCATTCCTGGTGGTATTTTATTCGGAATGATGATCGATACGGCCTGTTTG